TGACAAAAACTTTTGCGGTGATAAGCGTCAAGTTGCGCTGCTGACTCCCAGAGTCGCTCGCTGTTATGCCCATAACTGTAGGGTCTATCCTGCATACAAGCATGCAACAGTATTCGTTTTTTTTTAAATACCCTGCAGACAATGGAATCGAAAGGGTGTACAAAAATTGTTGCCTTAAACATATTATATATGGAGAAATTAAATAAATAAATAAATAACAGACTACTGTTTAAGAGTATAGATTTATCGATTATTGATTGATCGATATATATCGATACATTTACCTTATAGATTACAAGCTTCAGTAGTAAATAATATAATATAGTGAACATTAAATGAAGTTTTGCGTAATAATGCATGTAAATAATCGATCGATTTACTTTAAATGTTATCGATTATTATTGTGTAAAAGTACCTATCGATTTGTTTATCTTATAATGACGATCTTTTTTGTTTGTATTATTCGGTAAGAAAATAAATGTGGGTATATATTGAAATGTATGAGGTTAATCGATAAATATCGATATAGCATTCGAAATTTTTGTTTACATTTTGCGGTTTACATAAGCTAAAAAAAAATAAATAAATGTTCGATTCATTGTTTATAAATCGCAAATTAAATATAAGTTCACTATAATTTGGTGTATATCGATAAACATTGATTTAACACCGCACACATGAGACTTTAGAAAGCATTAGACTTTATAAGCTTCTGCTGTCGAATGTTGTATTCATGCTTACAAGTCCCACATAGCAGTATTTATTAGATGGTTATCGATATAGCGTAACAAGCACTTGGACACATTTTACATCTCCCTTATCATACTTGTTTGTAGTCCATTCACAAACTTATAGACAGTAGAGCTCTTTCTTCACAGCCATACATCCAGGGCATATCTTAGTCGATTATCATGCTGCTTGATTTTCCTTTGTTGCCATACTTTGTTTCTTTTACATTTATTTTAGCTTCCGCATTTGAGCCAACTTGTTACTCAACTAGTACTTACAAGGATGCGACTCGACGTCATTGTCAACGTCATAGTTTTGCCAGCTACTCTCTCGCTCGCTCCCCCTCTCTCTCTCTCTCTCTTGTTCGCTCTGTCTGTCTGCCTCTAACCATTGGCATGTCGACGGCCCTTCGTTGCTGGCTTTTGCATCTGTTTTTGTCGTCATATCAGTTTTCGTCTGAATAGACACGTTATCTATACACAATATGGCTTAAAGTGAGCCGGCTGGCCGCACTAAGGTGTCAGCTCTGTGCCCAGAAATGCGAGCTGAGCGCTGAGAGTTGAGAGCTCCAACTTGTTTGTATGTAGGTGTATGTAGGTGTGTGTGTGTGTGTTGGTGTGAGTGTATATACACCAGATTTTGCATGTTTTGAATGATATACTCAGCCGCAGCTCGTTAGCCGAGTGTGCGAGTGTGTGAGTGTGTGAGTGTGTGAGTGTGTGGCATGCATTGTGGCACAATTCTTTTGTATTTTCTTGCTCAGACGTACATTGTGTCGACACAATCTATTGCATTTCTTCGGCTCCTGCGACTCGCAGGGCCACGGACTCCTGCTGCTGCCTGGGGCTTTCGTTTTTTTCTTTTTGTGTGCCATTTGAGGCATCAACTTTTGCTCGCTTGCCTTTTGCCACAGCAATTATCAAGCAGCAAGTTTATAGACTCTTGCGGCTGCTCGTTAGCCACATTTGTTTGCATGAGCCGAGGCAAATCTAAATTAAAGCACTTAACACCTGTATAACGCAATTTAATTGAAATTGCACAGCCCCACTCGACTAGAGCAATTTATTATTGCCAAATGGCAGCAACAACAGCAACAGCAGCTTCGACTATAAATTTGATTTGCAGCCAGCAATTGGAGAGAATTGCTGCTGCTCACAGTTCAAGTTGAAAGTTGCAAGTTTCCAGTCTCATTGGGCACTTGGTACTGTACTCACACAGAGGCATAAATAATGCATGTCTGATAAATTAAACAATATATAGTGGAGCAGCCATTAGTTATGCATAATGTATACGCCATGTGCGCCAGACTTCAACACCCGCAGAGGATGCGGCAGAGGACGGGACGGACGACAAGCGACAAATGCCACGCCCGAAAAGCGGAAACGGAAACGTGCATAGTGCATGGCAGTTGCACAAATGCCACAGCACAGTGCAGGATACATTATAAAATGGCTGCCAATAGCTGCTTTTTGAGCTATTAGAAAAAAAAAAAAACAAAAAATACTTTAAAGATGTTCGGCAACCAGTTGAGGCAGTGGTGGCTCGTCATGGAACTGCAAATCAAATAGTCTTGTATACAAAGTATAATGCCTGCTATCACACTTAACTGATCTAATTACAGTTGGCAGCAGCTCCGCCTCCGCTTTAGCACCGCCAGCGCTTCATAACCGAGGCAGACAATGGCTCGTCATTAGGGGTAGCCAGCATAGGAAACCGCCCCTGGTGGTTCGGTGGCGCAGTGCAAACACAACTGTAATTATGTAATGCATAAAGGCCACATTTACCGTTGCGCCAGCCAGCCATCTGCCATTCGGTCCATCCGCTGCCCCCGGCCTTCCCTCGTCTACTCGGTCCACTTGCAAAATGTCGACAGATGCTATAATTGAAATGAAAATTACTGCAGCTGCCAAAGTCAAAATGTTGCAGTTGACAGCAGCTAAGCTGTCGCTTCCCATGGAAGTGGGCGTGGCATTGGCTATGGCAAATGGTCTGGTGAATGCGACAAGATGTTGCATGATATTGCTGCGAGCCCCTGCTCCCCTCCCAGATGATGCAGCAGTCGAGCAGCCGAGCAGCCGAGGCGGGACAACTTTGACTGTAATTACGCATACGTCACGTTGCCAAACTGCATAACTTGGGCAAAAATGGCTGTCAAAGCTCATGTAATTTTCGACTTAAAAATTGCCAAACATACTCACACACACACTTGGACCTTCACACACACACACACTCTCTTCAGTTCTGGTAAAGCAATTTGCTTGCGCTTTGTTGTGCAGCCAGCGGAAGATTTTAATGACGTTTGCTGCTGCTCTTGCTCCTGCTGCTGTTGCTGCAGCTCGTGTTGCTGCTGCTGCTGTTGATAGTGGAGAGGAGCTCACTTAATTTTCTCATTGACTGCTTAAATTTTAAGTTGAAATTGCCAAAACTTGCTATCAAGTGGCATATCAAGACGTTGCTTAATTATAAAATTATAGACAATTACAGTTATATTTATATATGATATATTTTCTCTCATTCTCTTATATATAGTAGTATATAAGCTGATTCATATTTATATAGAGAAATATTTTCATTCACGACAACAATTTTCATTTTTGTTTTTAAGTCTTGGCAACTTTATTATTATCGCTCAAGCTGTGGAGCCCACCTGAAAGCAGCAGGCGAGCAAACTTAAAGATAACCCAATTTGCATCCTTTATGAAAACTTTTAGCTGAGCATAAGGCTGGCCATTCTTACTAACATGTGGTTGCCATTGTGGGTGGGGAGGTGGTGGAGCGGTTGCATGATTGGTGTTACGGCTTAAGTTCCGATAAATTTAATGGAATTTAAAAGTCGTCAATCAGCAGAGGCGAAGCCGAAGCCGCAGCCTGGGCAAGTGCTCATTTTTAATGCATTTCATACACAGGCACACACACCTTACACCTCACACACACACACACGCATACATGGGCACAGTTAAGCTGCAACAATGAAAGTGAAAAAAACAGCCTCGCAGGACGCAGCCTTCGCCGAGTGACTTTGCACTGGCCGCCAGCAAGGATTTCATAGCATTCCTATAATTAATGATAAATATCGCACGGAGAGCACATGCCGTTCCATTGCCGTCAGACGGCAGACGGATCGAGTCGCCGCCAAAAGGATTCACACTGGAATGACAAATGGTGGACGCCACCGGCCGCATATTAATTGTTAACCGCGACTGCCATTCGCAGGGATGAACGACTAATTACACAGCCTGTTAACAGCTGCCCAGCTGAAAGTAACTCAATTCGATTCTCTTAAGCCGAAAGCCAAAGTTCATTGATTAAGTATTGTCTACAAATCAATTTGATTTGATTCGATTATATAGATATCAATTTTGGCTTAAAAGTTGTATGAACATAAAGTTATAGCATATGTATTTCAAAGGTAGAAAATATATTTTACATTCTCTTTAAATGTCTCTTTAAATGTCTGCAAATGCATATCATATATTGTATATATCTGTTCAGCATAATAGCAATGTATGTTTTCAGATTGATTAAAATGAATAAAATAGGCTGAATTTTTGTTGGAAAATGTGATTTCAGTCTTTCTTTTCTGAAGAATATAATAATATCTGGGCTTAACAGAATTTATTAAATTTAATCACGATTGTCTCTGATCTCTACTCTCTATTCTCGCTCTCTCTCTCTCTCTCTCTCTCTCTAAAACTTCTTTTTCTCTCTTACTCTCTCTTTCTCTCTATCTATCTCTCTTTCTTTCTTTAATAAAAGGACATAACTATCTCTGTTTAGTTATTTCTTGGTTCTTTACTCCGTCCTTTATGTCTTTTGCATCAACTGTCTCTACCCTTCTCTTTCTCTCTTGCTCACTATCTCTTTCATTTTAACAATCTGGTTACTCATCTTCCATCTTCCATCTTGTTCGTTAATATCTCTCTTCTCACCTCTCGTCTTCCCTCTTTGATTATTAATCTATTCGCTTTTTCTCCCTCCCTGTTTATTAAGCTTATCTCTCTTCATCTCTCTCCCTCTCTCTCTCTCACCCTCTCTCTCCCTCTCTCACCCTCTCTCTCACTCTCTTTCTCTCTATTTCTTGCTCCCACTGTGTCTCTTCTTGTCTTTTTCTGTCTTTCCCTCACTGAATCTCCCTCAAAGTAAAATTCTAAGCCTTAATCCGTTATACAATTTGACAATTTTTTTTTTTTTTTTTTAACCAATATGCGTTTATTTTTATACTCCAAACTATTCACAATATATTTAGCTAAACAAAGTAAAACAATAATATTTTGGAACAACCCACAGAATTCGCCTAACGATTTGAATTTATGAGGAGTTTTGGCCAGAGCCCTAGTAAAAACCATTTAACAAGCTCAAATATTTCGATGCAGAGCCCCCCACACAAGCAGTAGATGCGACCCAGCCGAGTGCCTAATCCGTGCTGGGTGATATGCACGTCCAGAGGTACAGCATGCCAGCGGCGCAGGCTAGTTGGAACCACTGCAGATACTTGATCCACGACATGGACCGGCGATACTCGAGGTGCATGCGCTGCACGGTCACCGCGAGGTTGCGCTCGACCACGCGCAGGCCGGCGAAGCGCACCTCCTCGAAGTTGTGCACGGCGAACCAAATGGGATAGTGCTGGTGCTCGAGATAGAGGCCCGAGGGGCGGGCCACGTCGCCCGGCTGGGCGACGATGTTGGCATCGTCCGCGCCGGCGTTGGGCCCCTCGCCCAGAAACGGAATGATGTCCTCGTGCAGCAGCAGCCGGCGCATGCAGCACGGACAACGGGACAGCACGCGGCTGTGCAGATCGCCCCAGAGGCAGGTCCAGCAGAAGAGGTGTCCGCAAATGGTAATCACCCCAGCGCGCACATAGTCCTGGCACACATTGCAGAAGTACGGGGCCAACAGGTGATTCCTGCGCCGCCGGCGTATTTCTGGAATGGTTGCCACCTGCTGCTCATCCTCGGGATTGGGCTCGTCTGCTTGGAGTACAGAGGATTGGAGTCTGAGTGGCAAGGCCTAACGTGTCTCACCTGCATCTCCTGCCGTCGAGTCGGCGTCGTCTGTGCGCGCCAAATCAAAGTTATCGTAGAAGAAGTCCACAAAATTCTGTTCATTTTCCATCCAGTTGGCCACATCGTCTCGTTCTTGAAAATCCATTTTGTTTCGACTTTTTCGATTTCGTTACACCTATCCGCAGACTCGGAGTAAAATGTGTAAAAATTGATTTTGTTGTATATGAACTTGTGTGTAAATAAAGTAAAACTACTTGGATGGAAGAATCTACAAAACACAAGGAAACTAAGTGGGAGACTCGATTGATTGATATGCATACTACGTGAGGGTTGTCGCATTCCATCAAGTGTAGTCCGTGCTTGCTGGGGCTGCCTTGGCTCACAGTCAGCTGCAATTAGACAGGAGCCGTCGCTGTCGCCGTCAGGCCTCATAAATTGCAGCCTCCTGCCCGCTGCTGCTTGACAGGACGCGCGTCCTTTTGGAGGAGGCGCAAAAATCGGAGCTCAGCTCGGACACTGTCTGACATATGGCAGTGTAATTTATGCATACAATGAACCAATGCAATGCGCTGGCTGTGGCAAATGCCACAGATTCATTTTGCATTCCCATCGGCGGCCTCGCAGTTGACCCTTTGTAGCTGCGTTCAAATTTACGCGCTGCGGCTGCCAATTTCGTTTGTCTCTCTCTATCTGTGTGTGTGTGTGTGTGTGTGTAAATTGTGCTTGTTGGCATTGAATGGCCGTGGTTATTGCACTGTCGAATCGATTGCCTCAGCAAACCATCCATACACACATTATTGACCCACATCGCATGTTCGTTTTACATCATTTAAATAAATAAAACATCGAAATTAACAGTGCGTGCAAACAATCATTAAACTCTTCTCCCTCACAACAATGGCTGTGCACTCAACTGTGGCTTTACAACTATTTATATGTTAGCATAAGGGCATTCAGTTTCCTCACAGTTGGCGTACAAATATATAAGAAATTTACAGAAAAAATAATATATATATATATAAAGAGGGTAAACTTAAGCAAAAATTACTTTAAGTTTAACTACTATTTATGTAAGATTTATTTTCTATTTTTGTACTCAATTGAGTTGTATATTTACTTAGTGTAAAAATGAATGTTCAACTTTAAGTTTTTGTTTATATGTACAAGAAAGTGTATGAATACTTGCATTACCTCTTAAATGGGTAGATATAATTAACTAGAAATAATAATTTAATTTTATGCAATTGAATTATTTGTTTCATTTCATCATCAAATGGAAATTCAATTAAAATCCATAAATGTTTTTAGCACTTTCAATTTTATTTAATTAATTAACTTATTTCACTTCATTTTTAGCATTCTCAATTTTAGTTAATAAATAAATTTAATTAATTAATTTATTT